ATTTATACCACGGAATGGTATAAATAATTATTATATGTCTTGCCTTATTATATGCCTTGATTAACCTTGCGCCGCACGTTTACAACATCCCGTGACTTACAAGTCACTGAACGTCGCGCATTGACTCACGGGAAATTTGTTGAAAAAATGGCGGATACATTTAAAATCGTGGTTTTCAACCGAAGATAAATAAACAAGTTAAACTATTTTAAATTTTATAGAATGTTTAATATATAGAAATATAGTTCCATATGACGCGATTGGGACTTTAACAGAGCTGTACAGCATATTGATAGGAACAAAAAAGTCAAAGGAACCAAGCCTCATGGAAATTTGTAAAGAACGCCCACTAGGGGGCGTCCCGGGCTACTAGTATACTATAGTCTATTAATAATGTGTTTTTTCATACTTTTCGGTTATCCGTTTTTTCACATATCCGACCAACCCCAGTCCCCAATTGTGTCGGATAATCGATGCTCTACTGTATTTGAAATATAAGAAAATAACATGTATAAAATATGGTTTCAAAAAATTCAGCTCAAGTTTTTTAAAATCGTGTTTTATACATGTTATTTTTCTGGCGAGAAACATTTACGTTTAAGAAACACTAAGATTTAGCACAAAGTTATAATTGTTACAATTGTGTGTGGCGCCATCTGTTATGCGATGTTATTTAAAACTGACTTTTATATTATTAGTCGGAGAGATCGGAATTGGTTCAAGTCTTCAACCAATTCCGACCTTTCTTTGCAGCCTTCTAGAAGGATCTGCCATCAGATGGAAGAAGACAGTGTCTACAGGAATGCAACGAGATGATCAAATCATTGCCTGCATTCGCATTATTGGCGAGCCTCCGGAATGATTTTTGATTTTCAGAGAAAATTTAATGTAATTGTTATGCCATTTACAAAACAGAAAGCACTTTTTGAATGCAATCATTAATACACTAATGTGACAAAATTAGCACTTAAATCATTGATAAATATATTTTTCCAGAAGGGTCTTTGATTTTCTCGAATTTTGGAAACCAATGTTGTGATGTTAGCATCTTTCTTCTTTCTGGGGATTCCCCTTGGTTTCTGTATGCATGGTACTGGGAATGTTGCCCTGCGTGACTTCTTCAAGAAGATATTTAATGAAACAATCATATATTTCATTGTCAAAATTAGTTTCATATTGAAATGTCGGAAGGCCCTAGTATGAGTCTGGTAAAATCATAGAGGTTAGCATTTTTCATGATGTGAACACATGTGGACTTAATCGAAAAGTCAAACACATTTCAAGTTTATGTCAATTTTTGCTCTATCTTCCCTTGGATTTCGTCACTGACCATGAATGTATGACCACCGACAAAGTATTTCGACTTAATTTCCAGTATGGCCATTTCTTCCGATTTAACTAGTTTCATGAGCATAGAGAACTGTACAAGGCCCAATTTTTATTTTGGCCTATACAACTGTCGAGCCAGATAACGATTTTAGTACGACAATATTTGTCTAACCTCAGAAAATAAAGAAACACACTGCAGATGTCATTGCTGCAGATCATCTCTTGCCACAGGCTACAGCAGTGATTCTTTGATTGGCCTACGATATTCATACTTGCAAATGTCTCATTAAAGACGATTAAATGCAATAGGAAGACAACACGAGCGTCTCTAACACGCTTAGAAGAAAGTCTGATATTAAAATGACGTTTTTCTCTCTCCAAGAGTCTGAGGATATAAAAACACATCATAGAAACGTGATTCGAAGACTTCGCGCAATGCTATTCACTTCCAGGCAAAAATTTACAGTCTTTAGTACAAAGATGATTTCGGTAATCTTATTGATATCGTCAATAAGAGTATGATTGATGAAGCAACTACAGCAGGAATGACGTAGGTGCCTCGCCGGATATGCACATTGTACTACAATGTGCATTTCGTGCAAGGCAGCTACGTCATGCAAAGAAAGATCGGAAGTGGTTGAAAGTATAATATTATATAATAGGAATGGGAAAAGGAATGCGTGCCAGCCGGATAACCGAGGCAGTTAAGGCTTCAGCCTTATCGCTCTAGGGGACTCGAGATCTAATCTGGAATCCTTTCGTGGTCTGTTTGTCCCCGATATGTCGGGACTCATACCTCAATATCCTGCCACTCGTATTGGGGGCCTGGCGGAACCCATAATAGGTATGATTACTTTAAAAAGGCCCTCTTTATTGCGAAAATGCAGAAAGAGCCAAAAATGAAAACAATAGGAAGTGGAATGCAAGAGATTGTCTTAAAGTCATTATGATTTGTTACATTAGAAAAATAGTATTTACGAAAAATTAATAATACACAAGCTATATAAAAATATGTGAATTGTTTCAAACTAATTCTTTAATATCAAACACATAAAAAGTTTTAATTATAATCTAACGTGTCCTAATCGTTGCTTATTAAAACTTATAGACTATTAATGTCGTGACTCAATTAATTAATGAAAGTTGCATATTACATTTTAATTATTTTCTAAACTATTTACAGATTTTCATCTTCAGAAATCATAAAGGAAAATTAATTTTCTCCGCAATTATTAAAATGTCTGAATTTTTCTATTCCTTATTACAATAACAAAACACAATTCTGTAGAATTTAGTAATGTTTTATAAAATATTTCATGATAATTGAATAGGATTTGTAGCATTGATTTCAAAAGCGAAATATCTATTTATAATATACTTACTACTTCGTATTTCTCTTACTTGACAGAAACAACTGATTGTATTTATACATAATTTTCAAAAAGCATATAAAGCATTTGTGCCAAAAAAAACATACGATTGGTTATGGAATACAATAATTATTGTAATTTTGTGAAATTATCTTATTGCAAAACATTTGGCAAGCAATTATACATCATTAAACTATAATATAAAATTTAATTCATAATAAATTATATAAAAATAATGATTTTGGCATTAAAAATAATTTTGGTAACCAATCATGTTCATACTTAACAATTTTATTTAAAAATGATTTAATAAATTATAAAAATTTTAAAAATATGTATAACTTAAAACTACGTTAAGTACGCCTCTTTTCCATCTGTATAAAGTTTTCGTGGATATAATTATTTTATTTTATAACATAATTATATATAATTTCTTTAATGACGAACACTTTTTAAATGACAATAAAATAATAACATTTTACAGAACAATTTTATTATGTTAAACTTTAAGTAATTTAAAAATTTGCGATTAATTTTTTTAAAATTTGATTTAAGAGAATAATTGTCTTTGGATATTATTTAATGAAAAATAATTGAATTAAAAGCATCAATAATGATATGGAGACATAAAATTTATTTATTATTGAAATATGTTTGAAATGAGACAAGGATAATAATTGTACTATAGTGGAAACTCGATTATCCGAACATAGCAGGACTAGGGTCTTTCGGATAAAGGAAATTTTCGATAATCTAGAACCTAGTTTGTTTTTGTGTTTCGAATACATTAAGCACTGTGCATTTAAAGTTTCATGTACTATAAATAATGTAATGCAATTACTGTATTTGAAAATAAATTAATTTACTAAAACTGTAACATAATTTAAGTGTATACCCTAGTTTTACGATGCTACAATCGACAGATAACGTAGTAATTTCTAGTTACTTGAAAAGTTTGGTTCCTGTGTATTGTACTTTGTGTTATGTACAGTATAACGCTACACGTTCTAGGCTTTTTTTAACTGTTTCAGATAATTTGGAGTTTTGCTAATTTACCTACTCTCCTATATTTGTCTTTAAATGGTATTAAATAATATATTTTTACAAAAATAAATAATTATTATCCCAGTCAGTTTCTCAGTTTTAATGTGAAAATATTAGTATGTACACAGCGCAGAAAATTTTTTTTATTGTGTTTTGTAGGAGCAATCGCCCAGCATTTAGGCTTGAAAGGCTCTTTGTGCCGGGGTGTACTGAAAGTTGAGGGCCGGGTCCAACACATCCGGCCCCCGCCTACATAAGCTGCGACTGTTCTTATGGATCTGAATATTGATAAGAGCAGTCGCAACTTTTTCAACTGGGTTCAGCGATCGCCACACAACGCAGAATTCCCAATATCAGTTGAAATTTCAGAGATTGCTAGAGCTCATGAAAAATCCAGGCTACAACTGTTCCAATGAGACCTGGGCTTTTCAGATTCGAACCCGAACCATCCCAGACAGAGCGGCGAGCCGAAGCTAAGTCGCTGCAGCTATCCAGTTGACTGTAGAAACAATTTTTTAATTGAAAAAACACTGTAATGCTATGAAATTTTAGAACATAGGGAGGGCATTGATATATCACAAGAGTATACAAGTACTTAAATGAAATTACTTGTTACCGTAGAAAAGTGAAACGCTAAGTATTTCGAACCAGTTACTTATGCATGTAAATAGTTGGTTTCGGATATTTGATTAATCCCTCAATAAGAGCAATCTTTGTACAGATAATATTGAATTGTCTTGATGATATTGAATTGCTTGTCTTCTAAAATCTTTTTATAATCCAGTTATATAATCTGAATGTGCGGCAATTTATTTTATTTATCAAACTAGCTGCAAGGACCCACTTCGCTGGATTTTTATTTGTTCGTACATTTGTATGTAATATAGTTTTTTTTATATATAAAAGACTGTTTTTCTAAGTAATCTAGAATCTAGCTGCAAGGACCCGCTTCGCTGGGCAAAAAGTAACGATAGTGAAGCTTAAGACAATTACATTATAGCTAATCTTACCCGTTTTCACAGAATGCAAGAATTAGGTCCCTCGTTTCCAGACTAATTAGAGAATTTTTACGTTTAGTCAAACGAACTATTTTCAACGTTTCTGTAATGTTTACAATCGTTCTATAATCGAACCAATATTCGAATTTTATGTTCGAATTTAATTCGAACAAATTCGAACAAAACATTCGAAATAGAAAGCCACTTTCAACCACTTTCAGCCTCATATCTCCCGCACCCTTATAGCTATCGAGACGCAACCACGCCTATGCACGAATGGAGACTTGGGGCTACCACCACATACAAACACCATTCACGTGCGATGTGTAGTTTTTGCGGAAAAGTGAAATATAGGGACACACACGTCCATTTTTATATATATACTAGCTGCAAGGACCCGCTTTGCTGGGTTTTTATTTGTATGTAATATGTTTTTTTTATATATATAAAAGACTGTTTTTCTAAGTAATCTAGAATCTAGCTGCAAGGACCCGCTTCGCTGGGCAAAAAGTAACGATAGTGAAGATTAAGATAATTACATTATAGCCAATCTTACCCGTTTTCACAGAATGCAAGAATTAGGTCCCCCGTTTCCAGACTAATTAGAGAATTTTTACGTTTAGTCAAACGAACTATTTTCAACGTTTCTGGAACGTTTACAATCGTTCTATAATCGAACCAATATTCGAATTTTATGTTCGAATTTAATTCGAACAAATTCGAACAAAACATTCGAAATAGAAAGCCACTTTCAACCACTTTCAGCCTCATATCTCCCGCACTCTTATAGCTATCGAGATGCAACCACCCCTATGCACGAATGGAGACTTAGGGGTGGTTGGTGACTTAGGTGTGGTGGAGACTTGGGGGCTACTACCACATACAAACACCATTCACGTGCGATGTGTAGTTTTTGCGGAAAAGTGAAATATAGGGACACACACGTCCATTTATATATATATATATATAGATATTTATGTCATTTGGGTAACACAATGCGTTTCATTGCGCTATGTCCTCGAAAAATATTAAATTTGCGATTTAGACATTATATTTACAGAAAAATTACAGCAAAATCTCGCAACAGGAATAAATATGATGGACTGATAAATCTCAGACATATTTATAATCGTTTTCCGTCAGTAACGACCAATTAACTAATTAGTGCGAGCGTCACGCGCTCTTCCTCGTACATCAATCCGTTTTCCATTATTACATTAACGATAAATATTAATTAATAATACTATCAATATTTTGACAATTGTCAAAGCAAATTGTTTATCCAAGGCGATTCTTGTCGGTTGCTCTCTTTTGAGTGCGAATTGTTTTTTCAGAAAATGAATACTCCAAGTAAGTTATTTTAATATATAAACAATTCTATCAATATAATTGATATCAACATCAATACTTGACGGAATGTTCGTGGTGTGAATATAAACAATATATTTACTTGTAATGGCTTAAAAAATTAATTAAATTGTAATGTAGTAAATTATGACGAGGAACATAGAAAATATAAAATGATATTATTTCTAGATCATATTCAATAAATTATACTTATAATGGGTGAAAGATAAGATATGAGAAAATGCACACATATCTGTCAGCCTATGTTACAATAAATTTTGTAATTATTTCTCAGTGTTCTGGGGATAGATCTAAGGATAAATTTTGTAATTATTTCTCAATGTTCTGGGGATAGATCTAAATTAGACATTTATGAAAACGTTCTTGGGAAAGGTCAACTATTTGCTTGAAATTGCACAAGTGTCACACGTCTGTCGTCCCATGTTACTATATCAGCGTCGACAATAGTAAAGAAAGACAATATTCGCCCGTTTCTTTGTTCATCCACTTTCCTAATATTTTTGACACCAGTTTTACATATATTACACTAGCAATGACTTCTAAAAGCAAAAAGAGTTCTAAAATATTGTATTAATTATACTCTTTTCCCTGAAAATTCATATATCGTCGCAAAATTCATATTCAAGTCGGATAATCGATGCTCTACTGTATTTATATATTTTACAAAATATTTACAACAATTAACATGTATAATGTATAAGTTTTTCCAAGTTGTTACACATTTTAACGATAAAATTAACCACTTTTTAATGTTCAAAAACTTTTTAAATTAATCTTTAACATTACTGATACTAAAGTTTTTGTTTTGTACATCTTTTTCATGATCTGTGGCTTTATTGTTTCATCAACATATATAAGTATAGATTATTATAATTCACTTTGAATATAAATAAATAATTATAAAATGTTTCTTCACAGGTTATCAACCTGTATTTGTTGGAAGTTATTTACCATTTGAAAATGGATATCACATTATATATGATAATCGGGTGAGTGTATCGAGAAATTATAATTTATTGGTATGTCTTAAGTAAACTACAGTAAGTAATATTCAAGTAAAAATAAACTCAAATTGTGTTTTAAGAAGCTAAAAATAAACATAAAATAGATCAGATGCTAATGCAACAATAAATAAATTCTTAACAAGAAGTTTAAATTTTCTTTCCATTTAAATTTGGTGGAAAGTTTATTTCCATTCATAAATGATATTAATACTTGCTGTAATAATGAATGATGCAATGGAAATTTGACATTCAAATATTCGTAAAAGTATTTTAAATAGACAAATATATTCAATTATCAGGTGTTTAATTTGTAACTCATATCACAAACAAATCAAACAAACTTAATTTCTCCAATACACTTAACACATAGAGTTTTATGTTACATGGAGACTTGATTTCCAGAACAACACTAACATATTTGAGTTATTTAATTTAGCAATTACAATTTTATATTATTTGAAAATCTAGTGTATGCTTGTTATATTCAGCAATTATATTATTGAGTTTTAATTTTTCGTCAGTTGAAGAATCTTGAATATATTCTTGGTAATAGTAAAAAATTATAATTAAAAATTTATTTCTTATTTTTCAAAAAGTTTACATTATATTATTAAAAAGTTTACTTTAAATCAAATTCATAAATTTGATTTAAAGTAAACTTTTTAATAATGTAAACTTTTTGAAAAATAAGAAATAAATTTTTAATTAGGCCTATATTTTTTACTATTACCAAGGATTGAATTTTACACAATAAAATAACTTCTATAGTCATTATTTCATTTTTGGTTATAAGATAAATAATCATTATTTATCTTATTGCAGTGGCATAGCTATATTAAGTATTAGATTAATTATAATTTTTATCTTTAATTTCTAACTATATCTAAAATAGCTATTATTAATCAATTTAATGCTTAATATTTCAGTATACTTTGCAAGTGCCCCAAAACGAACAGATGACAGATAAATATGAATATTGCTCACCTCCTCAAATGATCGGATATGGGCCAACACCCGTAGTAATTGGATATGTGTCGACACCCGTATTAATTGGATATTCGTCGATACCCGTAGTAATCGGATATGGACTGACACCCGAAATGAATGTATATGTACCTCCGCCAGCAAATCAGCATTATGGCCTGCCAACACAAGTGCTAGAACATCAGCAAGCGCAAGAATTATTTGAATATGAGCAACCATTTGAACTGCTCGAAGTTCAGCAACATCAGCAACAACCAGAAATTCTCGGACAGGAGCATTCAGCTCAGTTTACTTCAAGAATAGTACAGCCAGATTCAAAGCTGCCATCGGAAACTTCTAAATCTTTATTAGATTCGAGTCATCTGTCTATTAATGGTAAATTTTATTAATATTATAATTGTAATAATTTGATAGAAATAAAAAAACTATACATTATTAAGACTGTATCTCTGTAGCAGTTGCGCGGGCCTGCAAACTAGCCAAACCGGAGTTTTTATAACAAAATTTTAATTATAGAGTCTAGAAAATGTATTCAAATAATTAATAGTAAATTAACATTTACATTTACATTTAGGAAAGTAGTAAATTAACAGGAAGAAGTAATAAACCGAAAGCGTCATTATCAGAAAAGGGTTGTAATCGGTTCTCCAGGCCCAGAGAACTGATTACAATTCTAAATTCATAAAATTCACAACAACCCGTTTGCAGTTATTACTTTCAGTTTACTTAGAGTCAATATTTTGAGACTTTGATTAATTAAATAAATTTTTAAATTAATGTTTTCTTTGCCTAAATAAACAATTCAATCTAATCCAAAATGTTTAAACTGTAAAAATTATTGGCGTATCCAATAAAGTAAAACACACCCCTTTAAAAAACTAACAGGTTAATAAAAAATTAATATATCCGAGAATATTATAATTGGATTCTACTCTTATTTTAGAAATTGTTTTTGATCTATACACTATATTCTTTCTATATTTAATCAATTTTATTAAACGATCATTGTGATATTCCATATTTCTTTATATAAGATAATAAATAAAATGATGATCTTTAATCGTTTATATTGTCTGATATAGATTTAGTAATTAAAACCACTAATTAAACGGAAATGATAAAATTTCTCATTCACTAGAAAACAAATGATTGTATCAATATAAAGGCTCAAATCTAGAGAATATTCTATTTACAGAACTTGACAATTAATTAGACTACACTTTTTTGTGTTATAAATATTAGCTTTATGAATTGATAAAAGGAATAGTTTAATTATCACTGAGCTTTGACTCAATAATGATTAAACTATTTTAAATTTCTATGTGCATTTCAAACAAAAATCCATTATATTTTAATATAAAATACTAAAACATAAATACTGTATTACATAACTAAATACTGTATGTGTATTTCTAATGATGGGTAATAATAATTCTAGTAATAAGTGAATGCAGTTTTAATCAATATTTATGTTGCACATTCTCTACGTAAGCAGTTGAACTTTTTAAAATTAGGCACATTATTATATTTACATAGACTTTCTTTCTATCATGGATAAAATAAGAAATAAACTCGATTCAAGCAATAAAATTATTAAAATAGGAGACAAACATTAAATGAAAAATACATTTAACAAGATTGAAAAGGATTTAAGAAATATTTTTAATTATTAAAGACTTGATTTTTATTTCATGTATAAATTATAATTATTTTCGTTTTTTTTTCTATTTTTATATTACTTGTGTTTTCATAAAATAAGAACTGCTAATTGTTTTTTTAGCTTCCGATCCTCAAATCAATGAAGAGCAAGACGTAAATCAAATGTGCAAAGTTGGATTGGAACCGAACATTTCTACAGTTTCCAATGAAGAAACGAACATCGTTAAAGATAACAATCAAGAAATTACTAAAAATAAAATTAAAAACAGCGCTTTTACAGAAAATACTGTTGAAAGCAAACCATAATTATCTTCTATTTAAGTTTAAATTTAAATAAATTATTTCATTCAATTTTATAATTCTTTAGTCGTTTAAAGTTGATCATTGATTAATACAAAATTGTAATACTGTATTAATAAAGTATTCTTAAAAAGTATTTTACTTAACTTGGCTTTTTGTTGAGTCTATTCCTACGTCATTTTGTTTGGCATTTAGTTTTTAAAATTGATATGTTAATAATTAACATAATATTTCCAGTAGTTATTGATTTTTAGAATAAAGTATCTAACAGATATAAATCTCATTTGATATGATATGATTAACAGTTTCATCCTCACTCATAAAGTAGATTAAATGTTAACATTTCGCAACTAAATATTAAAAATACATTTAATTTTATATAAAATATAAATAATTATATTAAAATATGTTTAATATTTTTGAACAAATAGGAGAAAAATAGTATAATCAATATTATTATTAAAACCAAAACATTATTAACAATAATGTTTTGATTTTTTATTATTACTCAGGGCTAATATACAAAAATTTAGCAACGAGTTGCTTAACTTTCCCATCTCTTTTGTGGTCCTTTTCGAGTTTTATTTAAAAATATTGTGTATTTATAAAATAATACTGCTGTGGTTCTTATGTACAGTACCAAGACATAACAAGTGAAAACATTGGAATTGTGTCAAATTAGACCTTCTGAGTTTTTGCAAATCTCCAGGTTTTGAGACCTTTTGTGTACTACTGTATATAAATGATAGACTCTCTCTGTTCTTAGAATTTTATTATATTATATATTTAATATCCAATATAATAAAATCATTATATATATATATATATAATATTCAGTGCCCCAAACTTCCTTCGCCGATACTGATCAAAGATGTTCTTACGTTCAACCAAATTAATGTAGTACAACGACTGTAAGACACAAAGTAAAGCTCGAAGCTTTTTCTGTGACGATGCTTATTTTTTCGATTTATTATCACGATGATTGCTTCCTTCAAAACTTCCTATAGTTGTAGTCTGTTTAATGTGCACTTTATTCACATGTTGAGTCACTATCAAATCTGATTCCACTATTCTTATTCCACAATTTTCAAAAGTTTCCTTTATTTAGATGTTTATGTTGAGCTTCAGCTTTTCAGTCTGGTTCCCCCAGTTTTATGGGATATAATAATAGCCGGAAAAGTAAAAAAACAAAAAAAAAGACAATTTCAATAATATCGTTGGTGCACAAGAATAGTGACACAACCAAAAACAAATCTTCCAGAACAGCCATTTAAAAGTTTTTTGTTTCCTGATTTTTATTTCCGGATTTTTAAAATTTTCAATTTTTTTTTGGAAATAAATATTAGTGTTCGTTCTTCCACATAAAAATATGGGGAGTTTGCTATACATTTCTACAATAAACTCGAAATTGGAAATTTTTGAGTTGTGTCACTGTTCTTGTGCATTAACGATATTGTTTTAATTGGAATTACAATTACTTTATAATGTGTATTTTTTTTTATAAAACATGTAATTGCATTCTAACGACCATTATTTTACAATAAAACATTAAATTTAACGTAATGTTGAATAAATAGTTATTTCTTTATATTGAAATATTTTAAAAATAAAATTTTCAGAATCAAAAATAATTCAAATCACTTTAATTGTAAAGGGAGACTTTATAATTTCTTTGGAAGCTGCTTTATATCCTACTGAAAATTACGTATTACGAAAAGTCCGTAATGGTTGACATCTTTAGTTCGGTGTTCATTTATGTATTTATAATTTTTCATTTAATATCACAAACGTATTGTTCTTTTTTTGAAAATTATCCAGTTTTTTTAAGTATTACGTAACACTAAATTGATGAAGGAATTATAGGAAGGGAAACAAGAGTTTGTTCTTGCGTTTTGTAACACCATAAAAACATGTTTATAAAAGGTAAAAATGATTAATCGATCTTATGGTAAGTCAAAAAAGTTAATGTTAAACGTTATACGCACTGCTATTTCTTTAATATTGCACTTTGGACTGTTCATTCCTGTACTTATATTGTAATTATTCAATTTTTAACATAGACTAACAACATTCAGACATAACCACTGCACCCTGGGCAGAACGAATTCCATACTGTTGTATTTTACTCAATCTTTTACATTTTTTTAAAGAAATTGTTCCGTGTGCAATACAATTAATTTTGTCTAATAATATTCACATAACGCGAAATAAACGAAATAACAAGGTAATTTTATCATTGTTTATTTTTAAATATTAAGTGCACACTTCGGTTCTTCCCCGGTTTTCCTTATTAGATAAGTCATCGAAATATTTACTAAATATCAAATTTATCAATAGGAAGTTTGATTCTGTGGGCTTAGTTTTATTATTGTTACTTGAATTTTAAATATATAAATTCCAAATATATTAAAAAATGTTGACATTTTATAAAAATGTATATATTTAAAAAATTTTGTAATCTTAGAAATTTTAAACTAGTTTAAGAATCCAAGAGAATGTTAGAATAAAATACTTTATTTATAAATTACATATATTATTTCTGATATCATATTCTTATTTCCCATTGGAAAATCATCACAGATAAGATAGTTCTTCTGCTTATTCGGTTGCTGCAGCCAAAAGAGCGTGGTCAACATGGGCATTAAAATTCTTAAAGTTATTTAAAGGATTATTCTTGTATAATCGTACTTGATCATTTTCATGACAAACAACTGAAAAATATATTATAATTTTAACATACAAAAACATTAATTTACACGAATTTTTAAATTTGAAATTTAAGTAGATTTTTCAGTACAGATTTATCATTTTCAACCACTTCAAGTTTTATATAGAATTATATTATCATAATCAAACATTATTTTAGGAAAACGTGGTTCTTAAAAATAACTTTAGAATAAAAAGTTAAGCAACTCGTTGCTTAACTTTTCCGGCAACATTTGTTGGCAGGCACCATGTGTTACGATATCTTATTTAAAAAAGTTTTTATATTTTTAATTGTTGTAAAATGGCAAAAGGACTTAATTTTGAGGGTAAGGATAGGCTTTATAAAAAACGATAAATGCTAATAACGAGTAAAATCGTCGTTAAGTTAGACCCTACTCGAGATATAATACGATCCCCTTTATCTCCCCACCTCCTCGACCTTTAGCCACCAAAATTTAATAGCATCAATCCCCTAAAGCACAAACCTTCCTACAAAATTTCAGAAATTTTCGACAAAGCACAGAAGTTATTAAGCTTCAAACACTGTGACGAAATCGTGCCCCACAAATACACATACACACTAACATCCATACATATTAAAATTACCCTCGAATTATTTTGCATTTCTCGACGTTTCAAGATGTCCTAAGTCCAAAAATGTAAAAATTTATGGGGTCATTTCTGACCTATCGCCATACTTTCCCCTCTGCTATATACAATAGCCCTGAAAGTAAAAATAGAAAGAAGTAACTGATGATGAAACAAAAGTATTTTTATATGCATTGAACGTATTTCCGTTTTTCCCCGAAAATAAGACAGTGTCTTATATTAATTTTTTCTCTGAAAGATGCGCTAGGTCTTATTTTTCCATGAAGAAGAATTCACATTTATTTTTGAACAGAAAAATTCCCAAACCGAAACTTAGACGAGAGTGACGTATATCTCATCGTGTCGAACTGAACTTAAATAAAACCGAAGTGAACTTACGAAGTTCCTGTGCTGGAGTGGAGTCAGCGTTGCCAGAAGTTTTTTGTCCTTGTAGCCAAATAATTTTTAAAAAGCAGCCCAAAAGTAGCCAACTGCTCGAGCGGTTGGCTACTTTTGGGCTACTTTTGTACTAGGTGTTGTTTTACCTAGTACTTTTGTACTAATCTAGTACCTTTTTACTTGTCCCAGTACCAAGATACCCAACACCATTTTCCTAGTACCATTCATGAAATCCTAATACCTTTCCTTTCAAAACAATCATTTTTATTCTATATTTCTGTATTTTTTTTTTTTACTTTACTTTGACAGTAAATAGATGTTTTTATTGCTTCCTCATTCAAATGCAGCGGTTGAACGTATTTTTTTGCAATTAAATTTAATGAAAACTAAACTACAAAATCGAGTTCTTACAGCGATAAATGTTACACTTGGAAATCATCATCTGCTTCAACCATACAAAAACATTCTAGTGA